TTGTCATGGCTTGAGCAGCTAAATTCCGGACCGGAAAGTGAAGTCAAGTGAGACAGAGGAGAGAAGATCCTGCCATCCACTGTTATGCAGAATGGCAAGTAACAGACCAACAAACGGCTGTGCGAAAAGCGCAGGTGTTTGTTGACCTTCGACCTTCAGTTGTGGTGGTAAAACATTCGCCTCTGCTCAATGAAGGCCGGGAAACCCTGTCTGGGCTAAATCCTACCTGGCGCAGCGGTCCTCCTGGAACTTGCGGTAGGGGTCCTGCGCCTCGTAGACGTCGGAGGCCTCGCCATCCCGCGACCAGCCGTGGAAGGGCAGGTTCATGTACTCGGGGATCTCCTCGTAGAGAGGCACGTTCTCGTACTCCACACTTCCGTCGTCGCCGGTGCCGAAGCTGACCTCGCCGATGCAGCTGTTGGGCCGCTCCGCCGGTTTGGACTCGGCTTGGGCGCAGTCCAGCGAGTGGCCTCCCTTGGCCAGCAGCTTGGGCAACATCTTGACGGACACGCCGAGCTCCAGAAGCTTCCGGAAGGAGAGGCTCCGCTTGCTGGGGTCCAAGCGGGTGGCCAGGTCGGCGGCGGAGAAGGACTGCGCCCGCTGCTTGCCTCCCAGCGACGGCGCCCGACTTTTGGGCGGCACGCTGCTCCTGGTGGGCATCTGGCGGCTGAAGAAGGTCACGCAGGGCCGGGTGAAGCGCCAGGAAGGTTTTTCCTGGGGGGGCGCGGGCAGCTCCCTCATGGGGCCGTAAGGCGGCGCCGGAGGACAGACGGAGGGCGGCGGAGGGGCGGGCAGGCTGTGCCTCTGAGGTTTCCGGGGCGGCGGCCTCATGGGCTGCCGCTCCTCGGCCGAGAAGGCCTTGCCGGCGTGGCGCAGGGGCGGCGGGCATCCCAGTTTGATCTGCTTGGGAAGGCTGTGGGTGACGGGGTAGCGCTTAAAATCGCCGTAGCCGTCTTCTTCCTCCTCCTGGCCGCCGCGCCCCTCGCCCTCTCGCTCGCCGACCGCGTGAGGCCGAGAGAGCAGGCTGAGTGAGTGCGAGGCGCTCTTTTTCAGTCTCGGGGAGGGATGTTGTGTTCTGTGGAGGCGAGGAGAGAGGGAGGTCTGGCGGGGAGGCGGTACAGGAGCGCCGGGCTCGTCGTCCTCCCGGGGAACCGAGTCCTCCTCTCTTGGATCGTCCACCTGCTGAGGATCCCGAGCCGCAACCTCCACGTGGCCCTGCCTCACCAGGGTGAGCTTCTTTTGCTTGCGAGGCTGTGGGACGGGGAGGGGCTTACTCGGGGGCGCGGGGACCGCGCTGCCTTCTCGCGGCCGCAGATGTTCCGCAGGCGGAGAGGAGGCGACGATGCTGCCTGCAACATCACAGCTGATGTCCACGAGCCCCTCGTCTCCATCAGCATCAAATCTGTCCCCCTCTCTGCCCACCCTCTCCAAGTGTCTCTGTCTCTGAGGCTTGTCCCGGGGTCTTTTGCTCCCCCCCGCAGCCCCGCACCAACATCGCTCCGGTCCGGTCGGCGTTCCTTCGTGAATCCCGTTCTTGGGCTCGTGCTCACCGTTCTCCACACGCGGGCACCGACAGCAGTCCCGCAACCCGCCGGCACGCGTGGGAATGATGTAGTCCGACTCCCGCTCCGATAAGATCCCATTTCTGATGTTGAGCAGCGAGAGGCTGTCCTCGAGAATATCCTGCTCAGGGGATAAGATAAGGCGAGCTTTGAGGGGTAGCGAAGCAGCGGGGGGAGAAGGGCCGGTGGATTTTGGGATGCGGGGCTTCGGGGCGAGAGCCGGCTTTGTCCTCTTGAGAGTGGGGGGGGAAGCCTGGGAGGAAACGGGGGATGTGGTGGGCAGGCCTGGTTTGGGGGCAATGGCCGGAGGGGGTGAGGGTTTGGCCACGGCGGGGAGGTTTGGGTTGGGGGCTC